CGCCTGGCGATATTCTAAGTTTCTGCCACGCAATCAGACGTGTATTTAGGATGCCCCTCCCACTACATGATATTCATACAGTTTGTTTTTCTCATTCAAAGTAGTGTCAAGCAATAAAGCAATGCTAATATAGAACACCTTCTTGCTTGCAAAAATCACCGATATGGTTCTCACTCGGGCCGAAAATTTTCAAAGTTTATTCCATATGCATCTTTCTCGAAGTTTTGGTAACGGAGAACGCTGTTTTATCACTCACAACAAACAACGTCGACTTTAACGCAGACGCCAGAATTTCCGAGAAACTAGCTTTTTCACTCTGTAGCGTTAAAGCATGTATAAATGCTAAGAAGTCATTTGGTAATCATAACTGTTATTAAAATGCGTCGCAATACCATTGAGTGGAGGTAGCCATCGACTTTGTTACACTGTTGGCGAAGCACACGTGCCATGGCAGCCTCCATCAGGAAGGAGCCAGCTTGTAAGGTAATTACAAACGTCAGAGACGGGCTTCACATCATCGAGACAAACGAGAAGCACACAAGATTCAGGGAACTGGCAACTAGAAGCTTTGCTAAACGGCAATAAGTGGCTGTAGTTGGAGAACAGAAAAAGATGGCTGGCTATTTTCTCGCGACGGTTCATCTCTTGCGACATTCACGCAGTCGAATGAAGTATCAGTCTGGCAGCCTGTCCGTGTTAAGAAATATACGCTAATGTGATCGTTGACGCGCTGTCCAACGCACCTCGTGTAAAGTAATGGACCTCACAAGTGGAGGCGTTGTTGCATGCGAGCGAGAAAACTTCGGTTGTTATTTCTTTGGTTTAAACATCACCTCAGTGAATCAGACGTCGCATTACACCTCGTTGTCTGCGACGCGCACAAATAAGTGAGACAAGTTGATTACTTGTCGTGTCCTATTGACTGTCATGCCGAAAGTCCTCCAGTTCTGCAGCTGGACTTCCGATAGAAAAATATAGTTTAGCCCTTCAATTCCCCCCCCCCTCATACGCCAAAGACGACAGGATAGTGGACAAATATTTGTTTCGAATTGTGTTAGAATAATGTAAACAATGCGTGCAAAGTCAATTACTGGTGATGAAATAAACATTCGTCAGGATATTTTTTTTGCTCTGATAATGCAGCATCGGTAGTAAAATAATACTAGAATTTGTTGAGTGCCATTCGATCTGCCTGAGCTTGTTTGAGCAAAGTTTAGCTTTGAGAAATGCTAAACAACTGTGTTAATTACCCTTTTAACGTAATTTCAGGATGACAGTTTCACACTTCTTGCATACTACGCGAAGCTACGGCAATCGAACGCCCTTCCTTACCGAGCTGGTTTTTTTTTTTTTTTGGATCGCGGTTGACAAGAATTGCGACGGCTTGTGAAGCACTCGAGAGGTGTCGCTTGTCTCGAGGCAAAGCTCCGGCGCGAAGAAAAAGGTTAGACGTCACGAAGGACAGCCGCTTGACAGACAGGTAATCGGGAGTGGCGCCGGTGGCGGAACGAAAGGCCCAGGGCTGTCAGAAAGACGGTCGCGAGACTTTACCGCCTCCGGCTCAACGTGATTGCTCGTAGCAGAGTCATGGGAAGACTGATGCACACAGACAGAACCAAACTCGTTTAGTGTGGTAACTTTTCCCTCCGTAACCTTTAGGGTGGAAAAATTGTCTCGTGTCTTTGTCTATGGACGCTGTCATCATCCGCATCTGCTATAACTTGCATTAGCTTTCAGCATTAGTTTATCTTTGAATAATGGCACACGTAATGAGCACGCGGCTTCAGTACACGCCTGTTATCATTACGTCTTTGGTCTCAGCATATTTTTTACAAGCATCGGCGTCTCAAGCAGCCGCTAGCTGCTCAATAGACATGAATGATTCATGTTCAACTACATTTCGCTCACTCTTCAGAGGCAATGACTATTCAGAAGCGGAAATAACCCCACTGTGCTCTCATGTTTATTCATTCGAAGAAACAAATCGCAAAATCTATTTGTAACTTAAGTGTAGCAACCTTTATTCGAGCGAAAAATATTCCTGATAAAATATTCCACGAATTTAGACTGCCTCTTTGAATTCCCAAAATGATTTGCTTATCAGCTTCTCTCGTATTTGTTTGCCCCGGATCGGCGTGGATTTAATACCCGAGGTCGGGTGCCAGCAGCTTTGATTCAAAACGCAGAAAAGGTTCAGCTACGTTTGGTTTGCGACGTATTTCTTTCTCTATCAGCCGCTCCTCAGAATTCCACCCTGAAGAAATTTCACTCATTGTCTGCGTCGCCGCTGTAAAACGCTGTCAGACAAGCAAAACGTCTCGCTCCAGCTGCAAAACGATCCATACGCTGGAAAAGGGGCGTAGCCGGGGGGTAGCACACAAAGCACGTGCCCCTCCCCCCCCTCCCCCGAAATTTTTTTCGCCATAGCATAGAGAGCGATAATGGTCATTTTAAGGGGGTTCCCCTCCCGAAATCAAAGTGGTGCCCTCCCTCCCACGTGGAAAAATTTTCTGGCTACACGCCTGTGCTGGAGGCTACTTTACCTCTTCCCAACCGCGGCAGAAGTCACGCGCCGCCTTGAACTACTGGATCCGAGGCGACGTTTCGGCTGTAATCGTTTTGCTCCCACTGTCAGCTGTATTCTTGATACGTATTATCAGCCTCCAGGAGGAGCTATTGCCAATGCACGTGCAACGTTTACTGCGTAAGTACACAAATACCCATCTCTGGAGTTACAGCTCTTCCCAGGTCACGAAGGGCCAAACGATTTGTCGTTAAGATGCTATAGGAATCAAAGTCTCATTACAAACACGAGCAACCGCACTGTATTTGTAAGAGCCGAACGGTGGCACAAGGGTTATCGATTTATGCGATCTCTTCGATCGTACCTAGCAGATAGAGTATGTTGGATGGCTTTTACGAGGGACGTCTTCTAAGCGAAGCTGAAGTGCCGAAAGCAAAACGTTTCCTCAAGAGGTGGCATAAGAAGGTGCTTCGCATCTGTGAGCATGAAGACGAACATGTAGTCTAATGGGTTAAACGAGTGTAGAAATAACCTTCTGCCTCAGCGCCTCCCTTGATCACACCATTGCTCTGTGTAAACAACCCGACCCCACACGTGGACCTGGCGTGACCACCAACGCGGAGCAGGCCACCGTGTCGACACCCCGAGGTGCAGAGTCTCTTGTGTGTTCCCAATTACCATGATGATTGCAGGCGTCATTAGACGATGGCATGGTGTTAGCGAAGAGTGATAAATACACGCATTCGATCTGCAATTGATAGCACACAGAGGTGCGTGCGGGAGTATACCTTTATCACTTGACCTGCGCGAACCATTTCGGGACGCTCCATCGTAGCTTGGGACGGGAACAGTGTGCGCCAATTTGAGGGATAACAAATCGTTTTGGGTGAGTAATACGAACAGGTTATAAGCGGGCATTCCCACGGAGAGTTAGTGACAGGCCTTCCGGGGGTAGATGTTACGAAAAACGTCTTCAACTCTCAAAAAAGCATAGTGCATGCAGAATCGTGTCAGGAGAATAGTTGGCGAGGAGGACAAAGAGATCGGAAAGGATACGCCACCATGAAAATACTAGGGAAAGTGCAGTTGAGCTTCTTTTCATTTCATCAGAATAGCTGGTGGGTGTCTGGCCACACTGACAGTCTATTACGAGCATCGGATTTGAATGTAACGCTGCTTTAACACAATTCTGATTTCTAGGCGCACCTGGTGAACTATATTTTTCTTCATCCTCTTTTTTACACCATTTTAGCCCCCCGCTTGCCCCTACCTCAGTGGTAAAGACAAATAACTTACAGAAAAACCCAGCCTTTTCAATGGGCTTGCTCATACCGCGTTAACATTTTCGCAGCCGACTTGACTGACGGCGCTTGCATCACAAATGAATAGGAGGCAACAACACACCTTCTTTCTGAAGAGCTCATAAATCTTCTAAACAAGGTTCCTTATTGCCAGTGCGAATACCAGCACACCTTTGGCCGCGATGAAGCGCCACTAATATGGTAATATCCGTTGAGTTATATGGCCACTCATCTACCAATATAGCTGAAGATAAGATTATTGCAATGCCGTTAAGGCCCGGACAGAGCGGTGCAGTTTCCCTTGCCACACAGAAACCAGTCATTGACCCTTTCACCTTTTGCTGTACATGGCATTGCTCGGCAAGAAGAGTTACCGCATCGGTCGATTTGTATTTCATATAGCTCCACTATATAGCCGGCAATAGCCTGCAGTTGTGGGTCGATGTTATGCTGTGCAGGCCGGCAGGTATCAATGCTCTGTGCTCATTAAGTTGCCAAGGAAAAGAGGCGCCAATAAATTCACACACCAATTGGCACGAGGCAACAAGGGCCTGACGTCTCTATATGGCGTTAAAACTGTGCACGTGTGCACGAACCCCATAATCAGCGCTCTTCAACACTCCCCCATGATGTCTGCGCAGATGCTGCTTCGCGATGGACGCTGAATCACTCACGGTGGAAGAGAACTGTGCAGTGATTCAAGAGGACTAGAAGTAAAATACCAATACCGATATGCGTGATGCACTGGAAACAGAAGAACATTTCTACGGAAAGCATTAAACTTTCTGGATACATCACAGCGCACAGATGAAATGTGTCCAATTGGGCCACGGACCGGTAGAAAACAACGAATGTGTTGCAAGCGTGATTCAATATCTTCTTCGATAGATAGATAGATATGTGGGGTTTAACGTCCCAAAACCACTATATGATCATGAAAGACGCCGTAGTGGAGGTCTCAGGAAATTTCGACTACCAGGGGTTATTTAACCCATTAATTCCCAGTATGAGAAACATTTTTCCAAACTTCAAAATATTTCTTGGCCATGTCCTTAGAGTCACTAGGAGTGCAAGTTTTCAATAAAAAACATTAAGATATAGTCTGCGAATTAATAATGGGATGTTGCATATGTGCAACAATGGGCAGTAGTGTATAAAATGAAGGCCAATCCAAGTGAAAGAAACTTTTTATTGCTACCAATAATTTTGGCGAATTTTCAAATTGAAGAAAGCACAATACAAGCATAGCTGTTTGGCGCCTATTGGTGAAAACTAACAAAACGGTTACGGTCTTTGTTGATACACATCACCTTACACTTGGCACACGAAACACAGGTGTACCCTCCTGGGCATGCCTTGCAGCGGTTCAGTTTTGCATTCCATGTGGGCCAGTGCTCGTTGCTGTCTCTTCTGACATCCCGGGAGACATTTAGGCACACTTTCTTGAATGGTGTGACATTCTGAATCGAAGGGCGCCCTGGTGGTCGTTTGTTGAGCAAGATCAGACTCGTTGCGAGCTCAGAGAGGAATTCTCTCAAGGGTGTAGGCGGCAGTTTGTGCTGCTGGAGAATTCTCTTGTGCATGAACCATGCATTAACAGCTGCTATTTTGAGCGTGTGCCAAAACAAATACATATACCAGCATTTAGACCTGATAGAAAAGCGATAGGAGAAGCACATTTTGTCTAGAAGATTCACGCCGCCCATTGATCTGTTGTAGGAAGAAATGATCGCTGGACAATCGACAAAAATATGCTTTTTCTCCTTGCTGTCCCACCTTTTGACTGATGTAAGCGGGTCAGCACCAATGCAGTTCGAAAGAAGAGTAACAGTGCGGTTGTCATGCCACTTCACTGCCACCATTGTCTTTTGGTCACATGAAGTGACTAAAGTATCACAGGTGTCCCGACCTCGCTTTTTCGATTTCTCATCCATCAACTTGCTGCAGCTGAGTCTGTTTTCACGAACCATACCAATATAGGAAATTCCCATTCTTGAAAGCTCCTCTACAAGCTGAGGGCCTGTGAAGAAGTTATCAGCGACAACTAGGTTGTCGTCTCGCTTCGGTAGGCTGGAACACAGCTGGAGCACGACGCCAGCTCCCAACCCAAGCTGGTAGCCACCCTGGCTGCCATAAAAACCTTTGTTGCAGCGCTGGTAGACATCGAAATCATAACACAGACCTGATTCCCCAGAACGTGCCCAAAGTTTTAGACCCCATTTACTTTTTGGTTTATTAGGCATGTACTGACGAATGTAACACCGCCCACAGAAAGGGATCAAGATTTCGTCCACTGCAGATTTTTTTTCTTGGGGCAAGACAACCATGTTGCTGCTCAAGGAACTGAGCCATGGGCGCACTTTCCAGCATTCGTCTTCTTTTACTTTGTCGTTGGCCGCTTCATTATCGAAAAAATGCAGGTGGCTTGTGATCTTTTCAAATCTGTTACGGGACATTACCTGGGCTACTAATTCTAATGTACTTCCATTTTCCCAATAAGCACGAACCCTGTGCATGTTTACGAGTCCCATCCTGAAAAACATGCCCAGAACAGATGTAAGTTCTTTCACGGTGAGGTTTAGAGTGGCTCCATGTTTTTGAAAGTAGTACTTATTGCTTTCATCGACGACAGCATTTAGCATGGATCGAGAAACAAACATGTCAAAGTATGCCACTGCACTCAGCGGCTCTGCAGGTGGCAGCGGAAAGTTGTTCTCGAAACTACCTGCCTCGATATCAAAATCCTTCTTCACCCATGTGTACCGCCTTTTCATGTTCTGCAGTATCCGATCTACCGGAGGCGCATCTGTCGAGGTAGCAACCTCTTCCTCAGCTTCTTCTACCTCAGTTTGGATGGCATCTCCTTCATCACTGCTGTCTCCAGACACTTTTTCGCCACTTTTTTCATCAGCGGAAAAATCGCTCTCATTAGGGTTGATAACATCCAGCAGGTTTGCATGAACAAAACGCTTCGGCCTCTCTTTTGGAACAGAATAGAATGTTGAGGTTGAAATTGCAGTATGTCCCTGAAAAATTGTTAAAACAGCAAAATTAGCAAACAGACATCCGTTCACACACACCACATGAATGCGTGTCACGATATGATTGATTGATTGATATGTGGGGTTTAACGTCCCAAAACCACTCTATGATTATGAGAGACGCCGTAGTGGAGGGCTCCGGAAATTTAGACCACCTGGGGTTCTTTAACGTGCACCCAAATCTGAGCACACGGGCCTACAACATTTCCGCCTCCATCGGAAATGCAGCCGCCGCAGCCGGGATTCGAACCCGCGCCCTGCGGGTCAGCAGCCGAGTACCTTAGCCACTAGACCACCGCGGCGGGGCTGTCACGATATGTAAGACGCGTTTCAAGCAGAAAAGCAATGTTGCATATCTGCAACAATGAAAATTGTGGCATTTAGTGCCCACTGTTGCATATGTGCAACACACCACGTGAAAAAATATTTTCTCGAACAGAGCAAGCAAAAAACTAACTGTTGGGTTCTAGATTACTGTCAAGAGTGTTTCGAACACACATTCAGTGAAAAAAGCAACGCAGCTTAACTTGAGGGCTCATAAAAAAATATTTACAGTACCTTGATTGCAGAGCTCGACGACGACGTGGATGCTGCCATTTTGCAAACTGCAGATACGACGAATGTGGCCCCCAAGCGGCTGAAACTGGTACTGGGTGGAACGAAGAACCCTCGAAATAGCATAGTATGGACAACTTTTACCAGTGCATTAGGATCCTTGCAATCGGCAGGGCACGGAACTGGGTGTTGCAGATATGCAACAAGGGGCAATAATGGGTTAACGTGCACCCAAATCTGAGCACACGGGCCTACAACATTTCCGCCTCCATCGGAAATGCAGCCGCCGCAGCCGGGATTCGAACCCGCCACTTGCGGGTCAGCAGCCAAGTACCTTAGCCACTAGACCACCACGGCGAGGCAATATTTTCTCCTTCGACTTCGTGCACTTTTCAGCTACCCTTGCAGCTTTCCGATCAACGCCTGTTTCTTGCACTTCGCTCAAATAAACAATATAAATTAATAATAAAATATTACTTATTGTATAATTATATAGATTTCAACCCAACACGTTGGCCTGGTGGGTATGGTCCTTGACTGTTCACCCAAAGGTCATGGGATCGAATTCCAGCTGCGGCAGCAGCATTTCGATGGCGTCAATGTGTTAGAAAACCTTACACCTGTTGATTTAGAGGTTCGTGAAAAAACACAAGAATTTTTTTTTTCAATTTCCGCCGCTCTCCACGGTGTCCCTCGCACTCATATCGTAATTTTTGAATATAGAGTGTCAAACGTTGTTTAGCGTACTTGAAGCACGACTGGTCTCCACGACATTTTGTGTGCATGACGTGCACATTTAACTGCACACGCAACAAATTCTCTCTCAATTGCGTTCCACCTCTCGCCTAATCCCTCTATACGTTTCCCTTGTCGAGGACAAGGAACCAAACGAGTGGATAGTGAAATTTGCCTGACGTTTTTTTCTCTCTCTCTCCGTCTCTCTCTTTCGCTTTTTATAGCGTTTAAACAGGTATGATGCAATCGAGAAAGACCCGTAGGATGCAGAAGGCGCCGAACCAAAAGCGAAAACACAACTTCTTCAGAAGCTACGGCCAGTTGCAGCCTTTGCTAACTGGAACGTTTACATACTTCGTTCCCTTTTCTCTCCCTCTTTCTCTGTGTCTCTCTCTCTCTCTCTCATCTTTTACTAAGTAAAGGTTCAGCTGTTATCCACAGAGCATACCATTATCATATTAAAGGACGTGTGTCATTTTATTGTAGTTCAGTCGGAGTACTGTCTTGCAATGGAAAGAAGCGCAGCACTGTATGACAGTATTACACGATGTTCGGAGCTCTCCGTGCTCTAGCTGTGTACATTGCATAACATCCTAGTCTCTCTCCTCCCAGTGGGAGCGCGTTGGGCGAAAATAAACAGAAAACTACCGCGTCACTTATAAGCACACGTTTCACCGATAAACGTTACCGGTTTTGCATGCAATCGAATCGCCGAAGGGCCTCTGCGCACCGATGGGTGGAGCTTTTCGCGCTGACTGCAGTACATGCTCCAGCCTTGACCTGCGGCGCGTAAATGTGCAGAAGCTTGAATGAACGAAGTCGATCTTGGCGTAGATCACAATCTCACACACGCGTATGCGCCTTTCGCGTGGGGTATTTGTTGTACAAACCCTTGCAATCACCTCGAGTAAGGCGACACGCTTGCCTGCCATTGATCAAGCGTGCCTACGAACGGGGAAAACGTTTGCGATAAACATTTCTCGAATCGCGGCTCGATAGCCGTTGGACATATCGCGCAAGGAGGTCAGATAAACCCGTTTCATTGGGAAAGTTCCGTACAGTATCCCGGCAGTACCCGCTGCTGTGGTCTTGTGGTTATGGGGCTTAATTGCTGAGCCGAAGGTCGCGGGATAATAACGACTGCGGTGGCTGCATTTTGGTGGAAGCCAAATGCTGAAGTCTATGCGAGCTTATATTTAGGTGCAGGTTGAAGAACCCCAGTAGGTCAATATTTCCAGAGGCCTCCAATACGTCGCCTCTCATAATCCGATCATAATCCGCTGTGATAGAGCACTTGTCATAAAAGTGGTTGTGCGCATATTATGCTATGGCTATAAAACAATATTCCTGTTACTTATTGAGTTCTTAACTTTTCATGTTTTTTTTTCCAAGTTGGAATTATACAAATGCTTCATTTTTCTATCAGCATAGTTATGAGGTTTATATATGAATGTAAAATAGCCTTTGTAGCGTTTACAAATGTTGAATGTCTGATTTCAGTGTAATATTCTGTGCGATTTCTGTATTGTACATTGTTTCCACATCCGGGATGTAATAATTGTTTCACATTTTTACATCTTTTCTTCGCTTAAACAAACCGTGTACTTATAATTATCATGTGTTGATTTCGATGTACATATTTACTTTTGGTAACTACTCTGCTACATATCACAACCCTAATATTTAATAGAAGTGTCGAACTATGAGATGTTTACACGCATAGTACATGTTTTTTTTTTTTTTTTAGGCTGCCAAGAATAGGGATATGGATCCTTGTTAGGCGCTTGATAGCAGCTTTTTGTTAGTGTCCTGATGTTTCTTATTTTGCTGTAAAGAATTCCAAATAAAATTGCTTCCTTGCTTGCTTGCTTGGTTGATTGGTTCTTTGATTGATATGTATCAGGACACAAAGCCATGAGGAGCGATATTATTTGTCGTATATTGACAATTCCCATGTCAGCTGCAAGTATTTAGTCAAATCTTGAATCGCGACGTTCTAAAGCGATCTGCAGATAACAGCCCTGTTACAACTTCGCCTATAAAAACACGGCGCCTGTATGGGTGGAGACCAAATACATTAAAAACATCCTTTACCTAAGAACAATGAACGGGATGTGAGATATCTATAAAACTGGTAAATAGACGTTCTTAGTTGGCAATATTTTGTTATCTAACTGCAATTGCGAGCATCCATGTGTAGCTCCAGCGTCACCCCCCACTACCATGATTTTTCAATAATGAATTGTAGGTTGCGCTGTCCTGGCATGTTTACTTGCGTGCAACCAGTTGTAACTATGTACTGTAAGTTGAGTGATAGCTTAGGTCCGCCAGTTTCGGTAAGAACTAGGCTAGTGATAAGTAATATAGGCTACCGTTGTCCTGCTATATAATGGTAAATGCCTGCTACTACTGTGTTCAGAAAAAAAAGCTTAATGATTCATGGTGCTTGGCTTGTCTCATTAAAAAATGCATTTAACAATTTTGAGTACTTAGTACTTAACTATTAGAGATCATTGAGCCTCCCTATACTCTTTATGTGTTTGGAAAGTTTGTTGAACAATTTAGAGTACATGATACCCTACTATGGGAGAGCAGAAAGCCGTCCCAGCTCCATCTGTGTGCTTAGAAAGAGTGTTCACCGCCACCGAGTCTTGCCACTCTACTAGGAAAGCTGTCACCAGCTGAAACTCAACGCCACATTGACCACATTCTGGTCGTTCTGTCCAAATCCTATTACACCCTGTCCTACACACAGGCAACCACCAATGCCGCTTTCACCTAGATCTTGTGCATTTCACTCTTCTACAAGGTCAGCAACTACCGCAACGTAGTGAGGCCATGCGACAATCAGCAAATGCCTTTTATTCCACGAACCACCTCAGTCGCAGCGATGCTGTTTGGCCCTGCATAACAACGGCTGAGCCTAAGTCAACAAATCAAGGGACACGTCTTACCGAGGAGCGATTGCGTCGAGTAGTGTTTGTCCTTTCTTTTTTACATAATTGAGGACAAATGTGGAGCGTTCGCTCATCGAGCGAGTCTTACCCCCGTATTCACAAACACTCCTCGACTCGACTTTCACCCTTCACTTGACAGGGTTGAGCACTGCGCCGCTGCTCGGCTGAAAAGGACGCTGT